TCCCACAGACTCAGGGTCCCTCCCCTCCATCCCACACTCTTTGTTATACAATTACTTATTAAAATGACATGCTCAATCTGTGTTTTTTTTTCCAGCTTTTGTCTTTAGATATGACCCAGCTTCTTACTGTGGAGGACAGCATTCTCTCACTGTCACCTCCTGGGAGCCCCACCTCCCGTTCTGAAGGCAGCACCATCTCAGTGTGCACTTAACCAGGCACCAACCATTTGTCTGTTAGCGTTACTCTGCTTCTCATCTATCTCAGAATTGTCTTCGTTGAGTGTTTGTGTGGGTGACAGACTTAATCTCTGTATTCATGTGCGTTTCGTTGTGCTTTTCCCTCTCAGAGCTGGTCACTTCCTCTGTTTTTGTTTTCATGTGCTTCAGTCATTGCATCTTCCCAGACTGTCCCCTAAGTGTCCCCAAGCTCTGAGGACACAAACACCTCCAGTAATGATTGTGTTATTTCTTGTAAACATCACTTCTAGTACTCAGAACTCACAGGCCAGTCTGAGTTGACCAGCCCTCAGTTCCAACCCAACACTCAACCTTCCTCATCTCTAAGGGCAGGACCCATCTCAGCCCTTGACCTCCTCAGCCTTTGCCTGCTCTCCTCCTCCCCCAGCCCTTGTCCCTCCCTCACCCTTAGACACCCGCAGCTCTTGGTGTCCCCTCAGCAATGGATCCCCCTCAGCCCTTGTCCCCCTCAGCCCTTGTCCCCCCTCAGCCCTTGTCCCCCCTCAGCCCTTTTCCCCCCCTCCCCCCTCCAGCACTGGTGCTCAACAGCTATCCTGTGCCTTCCTTACTAGTTCAGTTTTTTTAAGCGATGGCCTCTTGCAATTTCTTTCTGGGTTGATGCCCTTATTTTGGTAGAGCAATCCTTTGGATGCTTTCTGGGAATGGATGTGGGGGTTCTATTTTGTGATCCATGCTGTGAACTATTATCCAGTTTTCCTTTGCTACAAACCCTAGAGACATTTTAGCATAGTTTTTAAGTTGTGGGGAGGGGGTCTAGAGGTCAACATTGGGGCGGGGTCTTCCATTTTGGCTTTAGTTGGGTCTTCTATTTCACTGGTCTTCATGCCTACTTTTGTGCTGGCACAATGCTGCTTTTGGTACTTATAACTGTTGTACAATTTGAGATAAGTCAGTGTGACACACCTGCATTGATCTTTGTGTTCAGGTGTTTCCTTTAAAAAATTCTCGAGCTGGAGTGTGGTGGTTGGTGCACACCTTCAATCCCAGCACCTGGGAGGTAGAGGCAGGTGGATCTCTGAGTTTGAGGCCAGCCTGGTCTATCTTGGAACTTGCTCTGTAGACACACACACACACACACACACACACACACACACACACACACACACAAGTTCTTTCGTGCTTCCTCGTGAATTTTAGGACTTACTTTCCATTTCTCTGGAGAAGGCTGTTGGAATAGTGATGATTAATATTTTGATGAGCAGTGATTTGACTCTACAGGGTGCTTTTGTAACATGGCCATTTTCATGTTACTGACTCTGCTCTATGACCGTGGGAAATCCTTCCTCTCACTAGGGCTCTTCCTCCTTTCCTCCTTTCAACTCCTTGGTTTATTTACAAGTGTTTTCTGGGACAGCTGTAAATGGGGTTCTGAGTCTTGATGTTTTCTCAGTCTGTTCCATTGGAATCTAGAAAAGGCACCGAGTTTTGTGTGGTGACTTTATATTCTCCTTGAAGTGTTTATCAGATTTAAGCATTTCTGGTGGAGTCATTGGGGGCTTTCACATAGGAATACTGTCTGAAAATAAGGACCCTTGGATTTTTTTCTCTCTCCTATTTGTATCCCGTTTACTTCTTTCTCTTGTCTTATTGCTGTGGCTATGAAATCAGGCAATATATTTGTACACAAGGGGGCATAGTAAATAAGCCCCTCAGAATGGCTGCTTTATTATTAGTGGGGGTGGTTACTTTGAATAAGCAAGAGAACAGCCAAAGGCATCTGGCAGAGTCCAGAGGGGCCATGTGGTGGAGGCAGTGCTTAACTCACCATCTTACCCTGGAAGTTAGTGTATTGTAACATCATTAAAATATTTACATTAAATATTTTATTATTTATTTTATCACAATCTTTATCGTCTTTTTTCTCTTTTGGATCTTCCAGTGTTTTAATTTGTATTACCTTTCATAAACAACTGATCAGTTTTATTTATGTCTATAATTATTTCCTTATTCATTATTTGTTTAGTGTGTGTGTGTGTGTGTGTGTGTGTGTGTGTGTAGGCCAGAGATTGACACAGGGTGTCACTTAAGGGTCCCAGCGTCCTTTCCACCTTATTTTTTGAGATAGGATGTTTCTCTGAATCCAGAGCTCACAGATTTAGACAGACTAGCTGGCCAGGGAGCCCCTGGGACCCTCGGGGACCCTCTGTCTCTGCCTCCCCGGCCCTGGGATTACAGGGCCTGCAGCCATGTCCCACTATTTTACAAATGTGGGCTCCAGGGTCCTCATACCTGTAAAGACAATACTACGCCAATTTCTTGATCTCCCCAGTTTTCTTCTAAAATTTAAAATTTCCCTTTTAAAAATTCATTTTGGAAGCTCTTGTGGTTTTGTGGGTTGAGCTTTTACTTTCAATCCTGTTCATTTGTATTGCTTAAGGATTTGATTTTCTTCTGAGCCCTGCCTCTCCCACATTGGTTGTGTTCTGAGAAGTGACGCATCCACACTCGCTATTTGGTCCATGATGCACGTCCACATTTCTGAGTCCGTGGGAGGGAGTGCCTTTAGATTTCCCAAAGGTGACGTCCTTTTACGGTTATGAGTTTGTTTTATTAACTGCGGCTCAGGAGAGTGGTCTTTAGGACGCCCTTTTCTTAGTATTTTATTACAAATCATTATCAGCAGACAATTCAGAACACAATGTACCAAGCATGCATGGAACCAGCAGCCCGGCTGACGCATATCAGCTCTTGCTGACCTGCTCAACTCCCTCAGAGCTGTGGTCCCCTCATTCTGGAGAGGATGTGTGTGGGACATTGCTCTATTGTTCATTCCTGAGTGTTTTCATGGACTCGCTATAGATGTTTAGAACTGTAAGGACCACTTGCCTTCCTGCGTGTTTCAAGTGGAGTCATTCTATCAGTCTGTATGCTCTGGCCACATGGTGACCAGACACTGGCTATGACAACAGCTGATTGTTTGCCATCCTGGAGGTGCCAGCTCTCTCTTCTTTGATCATCTATGTCTCCTTGTTGTGGGCAGGAATGACCAACTATGTGACCCTTGATCAAGTTTGTCTCCATAAATGCTTACTGCCACCTCTTTTGGTCATTTATTTCTGCTTCATTGTAAACTCAGAATTTGGGTCCTTTGTCAGTTACATACTATTAGTGACATACACATACTGTCAACTGTAGGGCCCAGAACAGATTGTCTCAGTGGCTTGAGACTGCGGTGAGGCCCTTTCTGCTCTCAGGATCCCTTTCTAGGGCATATCCACCACCTCCACACCCATGCTTCCAAGGTGCTAGAGCAAAGAACAGAAAGTCTCTGAGAACTGTGGTCTGGAGGAGGCAGATTGTTGCCAGCAATTTCCTTTCCAGATACCACTATGTGGCTCTAACTGCAACAGCCTGCACCAGGCCACAGGTCCAGGCCAGAAGTGGTACCCCCAGCCAATAAAAGGAGCTTGGGGCCAAGTCCTGGGGAGCAGGGAATGATGCTGTCCAGGGGATGTACTCAGCATCCCTAGCAAGGATAGATGACCCATGAAAGATGTCATCTATTGGGGTTTGCTGTAGCTGGATACTTTTCTCTGTCTTGTCCAGTCCAGCTGGACCTGTTTCTCTCTCGCCCGCCAGTCACAGCAGCCACTTATAAAATAATCACTCTGAGGCTTAATAGTAATTATAGTTGTCTGGCCAGTGGCTCAGGTATATTACTGATTAGCTCTCACAATTAAATTAAGACATTTCTATTAGCTTGTATTTTACCACAAGGCTTGTGGCTTTATTACCTCACATCTTGCCTCCCTGACTCTGCCTTCTTTCTCTCTGTATCTTTGTTTGGATTCCCTGCCTGGCTCTATTCTGCCTGGCCATTGGCCAAATCAGCTTTATTTATCAACCAATAAAAGCAACACATATTTGCAGCATACAAAAGGACATCCCACATCAGTGTTCTTTGGACTTGTGACCATGATGTCTGTGGGCTGGTCATTAAATACCCCTGCCATGCCTCAAAGCTCCACAGTCCTTCAGGAGAGCAGGTCATGCTGCTTTATGAAGACCGCAGGCCAGTGAGCCTTTCAGATGCAAGTTTTCCACAAAGAGCAGCTCTCAGGATCTCACCAACCAGGGCAGGGAAGTTTGGGGGAGTCAGGGTGGCCAAAGCCACTCCCAGGATAGGTGCTGCTGTTGTGTCCCTGAACACACTGTTGTGTCCCTGAACACAAGTTTATCACTTGGACATACCTATGGACAGGAAATCCTGGCTTCTCACACCATGGAAGGGGATGGGCTCAGTGCCAGTGTGAGCAGCCAGGGGTGGGAACATGAGTATTCAAGTGAGAGACATTCTTGGATAGGTTTGCCAAGTGGTTTATTGGAGCATGATGTGTGCTGCTCAAAGGGGATGGGGTGGGAGGCTGAGAATCCAGGAAAAGAGCCAGGGTTGGCCTATGCCCAGTGGAGCCCTATCACAGACCCAGGGAAGTGGCTGGGAGCCCATCTCTGAAGCAGCTTCTGCTTCTGCTTTGCTACACAGAGGGCAAGACTGTAGAGGCCATCTCCTCACTGTGGCAGGGCCAGTAGGTTCCCTGACCAGGAAAGTCATAGGTAAGAGCTGGGGCTTCTCCCAAAGTGAAGGAGGGGTGATCAAGTGAGGCCCTGCAAGACCCTGGAGAGGCAATGGAGAAACTGACCACGAGCAGAGAAGCCAGAGGTCAGGTGAGAGAGAGCTCCCAAGCTCTGGGGTGACAACAGAGCCCCACTCAGCAGCTGCGTTTCTGGACTGAGGAGAGGATTCAGCAGGTTGGGCAGGAGCAGGCAGGGCGGCAGAGCAGGGACATGCTGGAGCAGGGCTTGCAGCAGCTGGGCTGGCAGCAGGAGGCACAGCAGGAGGAGGTGGGCACACAGCAGGCGGGTCTGCACACAGGCCGGCAGAGCAGGGACACGCTGGAGCAGGGCTTGCAGCAGACAGGCTTGCAGCAGACAGGCACGCAGCAGGATGGCTGGCAGCATGAGGACTGGCAGCTAGACTGCTGGCAGCATGAGGAGGACCCAGAGCAGATGGGTGTGCAGCAGACAGGCTTGCAGCAAAGGGTCACAGAACAGGGTGAGGAGGTGCAGCATGAGGGCTGGCAGCTAGACTGCTGGCAGCATGAGGAGGACCCAGAGCAGATGGGTGTGCAGCAGACAGGCTTGCAGCAAAGGGTCACAGAACAGGGTGAGGAGGTGCAGCATGAGGGCTGGCAGCTAGACTGCTGGCAGCATGAGGAGGACCCAGAGCAGATGGGTGTGCAGCAGACAGGCTTGCAGCAAAGAGTCATACAGCAGGACTGCTGGCAGGGGGAACAGGTGCAGCAAGCTGGCTGGCAGCTAGACTGCTGGCAGCATGAGGGTGCGCAGGGAGACTGGCAGCAGGGGCTGGACACACAGCTCACTGGGGTGCAGATAAGAGTAACACAGGGGGCTGGGGCACAGCAGCTGGGCTGGCAGCAGCTGGGGACACAGCAGCTGGGCTGGCAGCCCCCGGGGGAACAAAAGCAGGGCTGGCAGGCGCTGGGGGGGCCGTCGTCCACCTGCCAGGAGGAGTTGGTGCAAGCATCAGAGCAGACAGACATGGTGGAGGCGGCCATGGTGAAGACTGGGCTGGAGTAGAGTTGACTGCGTGCGTGAGTGAGTGTTGAGTGTGAGTGTGTGTGAGGTGCTGAGCCATCAGCTTTTATCCCCCTGTGCTGTTGTGGTTCTTGGCCTCTTTTCCTTGTTGGTGTGACTCATTGCCATCATTAGGATCTTTGTTTGTCTGGGATGTTGTTGTCAGACTGTCTGTCCCTGCCAGTGGGTGATGCTGGGAAGAGTGGTGGAGTAGCTAGGTAAGGCTCTGTGAGCAGTGAGGTTAGAGTGTCACTGGTGGGACTTGTCCCAGCCACCCTATGGCGGCAAGGATGTCATTCAGCTATGGCTAGCTGTCAGGATGCTCATCTCCTCTTAAGAAGTAGATGCCCTCAGCCCAATACTCCTTCCATAGCCCAGCTCTGAGTGAGCACAGTTATCACTTTGAGACAGACAGTGCTGAGACCAGAGATATTCAGTGACATATCTAGAGCCATTGAGTTGAGGGTGCAGTGACCAGCCTGTAACTATCCCTATAGTGTCTCCTCAGCTCCTGCACCTCTCTATATTACCCCTTGACATTGTCCACCATGCTCTGTGCCTGTGTTCACCCTACCTTGGTGCTTAGGGCTGCAGGATGATGAGTTTGACCTCTACATACTCAAGAAGGCCACAAGTTCCTGGCTGGGCTGTTTCTAACCCCAGGGAGGCTCATGGTCTGTTGAAACCATAGGAGCAGTGAATGGTCCAGCAACCTGTGCAGCTCTCTCACTGATCAGTGCTTTCCAGCCATCCCTTGTCCACTCCATCCTCCCCCAAAGCTGCTAACATTCCTCACCAGCCCTTCTGCCCACCAGTCGCCCAGCCTTGCCACTCAAGCACTGGGATGCGTGTCCATAGCCACTGTTTTTAAGTTAGGTCACGTATGTACACAGAGTCCAGCACAGAAGATGCATCTGGAAGTTAGGTTGTGTCATCTGAAGCCAGGGCTGGCCAGTGTCCTTGGATGCAGCTATCCCCATGTCCTCCATTTCCACCTCTCTGTCTCTCTACCTGTATGAGCACACATCACACATGCATGGATTCGGGGCCCATTCTCCTCAGTCTAGTAGTTGTGTTCTGTGAGCCACTAGCACTTATTTAGAAGATACTGGTCAGTTGCTGCTGGGTTTCACACAGGGTCAGTTTCCCATGAGTCTCTGGTCGTCACATGTGTCACACAGGAGCTTGTCTGATCTCTGGTCGTCACATGTACTACATACATGGGAGCTTGTCTGTTCTCTGGTTATCACATGTGTCACACAGGAGCTTGTCTGATATATGTCTGTCCAAAGGCTACTTGAGCTATCCACATGGCAGACTTATTACCACTGGCCTCACACCAGCAGCAGAAGTTGTGGATTCTGTGGAGTGGCCTGTAGTGCTAACATCACAGAACATGGTAGTTCAGCACCATTCAGGGGCATTCCCTAGCAAGAGAACAGCACAATCCCAGAAAACTCAGCACCAAGGAGACCCAGTGAGATTTGTTTTCAGGATGAGTCAAAGCCAAAGGCACAGCCTTATTATTATCTCATATTATCCAGCTGGGAGCATGTACCTTAAGATTCACTGCTCTGTGAATGTCCATAGAAAGCCACAGAAAGATCACAAGTAGATTTGGGGATGCAGTAAATGTCAGAAGGTAAAAATTAAACAGAATCCATAGATGGTGAGCATTGACTCTTGTCTATCCACCCACCCAGCCACTTATCCAGACACCTACCTACTCACCTATTCACCCATCTGTCCATCATCTATCCATCCATTCACTCATCTGCTCCCTCACTCATCATCCATTGATCCAGCTACCTATCTGTCTATCCACTCATCTATGTATCCACCAACCCACCCACCTACCTATTATTACCCACTCATCCATCCACTAACACACTCATCCATCCACTAACACACTCATCCATCCACTAACACACTCATCCATCCACTAACGCACTCATCCATCCACTAATACACTCATCCATCCACTAACACACTCATCCATCCACTAATACACTCATCCATCCACTAACACACTCATCCATCCACTGACACACTCATCCATCCACTGACACACTCATCCATCCACTAATACATTCATCCATCCATTGACACACTCATCCATCCACTAATACATTCATCCATCCACTGATACACACATCCATCTACTGACACACTCATCCATCCACTAATACACTCATCCATCCACTGATACACTCATTCATCCACTGATACACTCATCGATCCACTAACACACTCATCCACCCACTAACACACACTCATCCAGTCATCCAGCCACACATCTATCTATCTATCTATCTATCTATCTAGCAAACTACCCATCCACCACCCACTCATCTGTATACTTGTTCCCTCATCCGTCTATCTATCTACTCACCCACCCGCCATCAATCTATTCATCTAACTGCCATTTATACATCATTCCATTCACTCACCCACCACCCATCCATCTATCCACTTACCCACACACTATCCTATCCATCCATCTACTTACTTATTCATCTACTGGCTCATGCACCCATCTAGTTACCTATCTACCCAGCTACCCATCCACCCACGTATACATATATCCACCAACCCACCTATGTATCCATTTACTCACCCAGCCAATCCACCCACCAAACCATCATCCATCCTCCCATGTATCCATCCATCTTACCCATTCATGCATCTGCCTACCCCCTCATCCATCCATCCATCCATCCTTCCACTCACCCATGTACTAGCCCATTCATCTACCCACTCATCCAACCATCCACTCATCCATATACTTATCCTTATGCCTGCCCATCCATCATTTACTATCTATCTATCCATCCATTCTCTATGTATACATATAATATGTATGTGTACACATAAATATGTCTCCATGTTTATAGAGTTTAACAATACAAACTCTGTCATACCTAGTCTACCACATTTTTTTAAAGCTTAATTCAAAAAGTTCCTTTTCTGTGACTTTGTAAAGATTTGTCTTATTTACAACTGAGGGAGTTTGGTCCATATGTGCATCCCAGGTTATGTGATTCAAAGTAACAGACATTTGCTATCCAGCATATCTGTTGAGAACCTGTTACAACAGGATCTGGCTCGGCAGAGCTGTACCAAAGCACCCCTATGGATCGATTGGGCAGATCTCCTTCCCGCTCGTGTGGCTACTGAGACATTTAAGGCCAAGAGCCTCAGTTTCTCTTTGGTTCTGGAGCCTCATCCTTAGGCAGCCCTCTCTATGGACAGCTTGTAAAGTATGACTTCTTCTAATCATGGGAGGTTCTCCTAACATGTCAGCATCCTCAGTGAAGCTGCCGAATGCTGGCCCTTACTATGGGGCATGACCCACCTCACTGCAAGGCTGGGAACACATGAACACAGGGGTAGGGACATGCAGCCCCCCAACCCTGGGTGGCCACACTCTGTCACTGTTACTTAGACAACATCACTCTTGGCTTTGCACACACTACATGCTGACCCTCGGAGACTTTCTGCACTGAGAATTAATTCTAGAAACATGACCCACAGAGCCCCCATGGCCAGGACCCTCTTGCTTGGCTCCCTAAGCCCCGCACCTCATGCAGCTGAGGTTTCCAGGGAGCCATGGCTCTCTCTGGTGTTGTTCTAGGGAGTGGAAATGTGGGTATTTTTCCACACAGCCTCTGAGGTACCGTTGCAAATATGCATCCTGTCCATCTCAGCATGGGGCCACCCAGCGATGAGGAAGACCCCCAGATTTGCATATACTCAGGATGTTTACAAGGTGAGTGACAGCTCACAGCTAAACAAGGAACAGTGTTAATGAGACTGCTGGGTCACCAAACAAGGAAGGTGACAGCCATGAAGGGGAATAAAAGCCGAGGGCTCAGTACCTCACATACACACACATACTCACACATACTTGCAAACACACCCCTCCAATCCAACCTCACCATGGCCACCTCCACCATGTCTGTCTGCTCTGACGCTTGCACCAACTCCTCCTGGCAGGTGGATGACTGCCCAGAGAGCTGCTGTGAGCCCAGCTGCTGTGCCCCTAGCTGCTGCCAGCCCAGCTGCTGTGTCCCCAGCTGCTGCCAGCCCAGCTGCTGTGTCCCCAGCTGCTGTGCCCCAGCTCCCTGCATTACTCTTGTCTGTACCCCAGTGAGCTGTGTGTCCAGCCCCTGCTGCCAATCTTCCTGCACACCGTGCTGCCAGCAGTCTAGCTGTCAGCCCTCATGCTGTCAATCCTCCTGCTGTGTGCCTCTTTGCTGCAAGCCTGTCTGCTGTACACCCATCTGGCATGGGTCCTCCTCATGCTGCCAGCAGTCTAGCTGCCAGCCCTCATGCTGCACCTCCTCACCCTGCTGTGTGACTCTTTGCGGCAAGCCTGTCTGCTGCACACCCATCTGCTCTGGGTCCTCCTCATGCTGCCAGCCATCCTGCTGTGTGCCTGTCTGCTGCAAGCCAGTCTGCTGCAAGCCCTGCTCCAGCATGTCCCTGCTCTGCCGCCCTGTGTGCAGACCTGCCTGCTGTGTGCCCACCTCCTCCTGCTGTGCCTCCTCCTGCCAGCCCAGCTGCTGCAAGCCCTGCTCCAGCATGTCCCTGCTCTGCCGCCCTGCCTGCTCCAGCCAGGCCTGCTGTGGCCTCTCCTCAGGCCAGAAGTCCAGCTGCTGCTGACCTGTCCATGTGAGAGCATTTCTTGCATCTACAGTGAGTGCCAAGGAACCAGAACTCGCAGAAGAATATTCATACTCCGTGCTCTCTGCACCAGGGCAGACCATGGCAGTGCCCTCCTCTTTCTGCCTCTGCGCTTTCCAGGTCAAGCATTCTCACCACTGTCCCTTCTCTGAATACACTTGAACCTTCTGAGCAATAAAAACCCTGACTGAACCTGTGTAGAGTCCCGTGGTCCTCATTGGCATCTCATGATTCCTCCTTTGCACTTGGCGATCTGCTGCACTTTGGAGCCTATCTGTGCTAGTTCTGGGGACAGTTCCCTCTGCCCCCTTGCTTTGTAACTGTGCTTCCTCTGCATGGTGTCGATCAAACCTGAGCAGGTACTTCTAAACCCTGTGCTTCCCAGAGCGCTCAGGTGCCTCCTCTCTGAGTGTTTGTCAAGTGCCACCAGAGCACATCTGTGGTCTGCCACTCACTGTCCCTTATTCAGTGGTGCTAGTGTGTGCTAACAACTGGAATCTGGTCTGGGCTATGGGCCTTGTGAGCAGACATGTCCCTACCTCTAGACTTCACTTGGTTCTAAATGCAGAGACCTTAAATGTATGGGTGTGATTGGAGAGTAAGCACACTGTGACGGAGCTCACCGCGACGGAGCACACTGAGAAGTCAGTTAGCTGGAGTCTTGTTTCTGTTGAGGACATGTTGGCATGCTGGGGTGGTCCTGACTACGCCAGTGACCATCCAGTGATCTCAGCTTGCAGAGGGTGAGAATGAGAAGCACTGCCCCTTGTTGAAGCTCTAGTTCTGGGATAGGCACATGTCTTGGCAGCAGGTGTCCATGTACCTAGCACCAGCCACAAGCTCAGTGTGTGGCTCACAGCACCTGGGACTGGCTTACAAACAGCTTCTGAGTCCTGCCTTCCCTATCACTGAGGAGAGGACACCGCCCCGGTCCAGGCGCTAATACATTTGCTGAAGGCCACATAAACAGGAAGAAGTTGCTGTAGACATAGGGGACACTGTCACACCCTGACATGTCACATCCTCATGCGGCCACTGGTTCGCACAGAGTGAAACTTTCTCTTCAGTGCTTCATTCAGTGAGACTCCTGTCTAGATTCCAAGTCAATCAGAAGCAGCACAGGGCCAGTGCCTGGTGTACCTGTGGGTCCCCACAGGCCTGCGCTCTGCCTACACTCTGGGAGGCAGCAGTCTGCAGAGGCAGCACAGGTAGACATCTGCAGCCATCCAAGGTCTTTGAGAGCCTGTGGCAGAATGGCAGTGGCTTTATCTCTTTCCTTGCAAACATGAGGTTAGCGGCCTCCCCTACCTACTTCATGCTCTTGTCATGACAAGCCTCCTGACCACAGGCCCAAAGTCACAGGCTAGCCCACTGACACCACCAAAACCATGAACCTAAAGAAACCAGTGATCCCAAGTGTCGTTTAGAGTGACAGAAAGATGCCTTGTGCTCTGAGGCCTTCTCCATCCTCCCTTTCAGCCTGCTATGTCCTGAAGTCATACCTCACCCCCCCATGTGACTGTGATGATTACCAGACATAGACTGAGGCCAGAGGCACTGGCCTGGGGACTCCCCATTGCTGTAACCCTCAGTGTGAGGGATGTCACACTGCCCTGGCCAACTCTGACCTGGGGGTAGCTCACTTTGTTTCCACTCCCCATCTTGTTATTGCTATGATAAATCTTCATTCAATACAATTAACTACCAGATGAGACAATAAGGCTCACTTTATTTTCTCAGTGAGAGTCACTTGGTAGGCAGAGCTCAGCAGCAGTGAGATTGGAAAACAGGGTACCATACCACCTGACCTTCCACACACAGAATCCACTGAGCTCCACTGAGGGGCCTAATCAGGACTTGAGGCTCCCCCACAGGTCTGTGTGGACCGAGCTGCAGGGGACGGTGCTGCCTCCCTAGGGGCCTAGAGCCTGGGGATGGGGTGGCACCCTGAGACTTCTTGTGTCTGCCCCAGATCTTATGACAGATTTCCTTCTGGGGAGATGCTGGCTGCATAGACCAGGCCTGAGCAGTAGTGGGTCAGGCCAGGTAGTGTTGGGTCAGAGAAAGATCCTGAGAAGTCACAGAGGGAAGCACACTTGGAACTGGAGGGTATCCTGTTCTCAAACATGAGAAACGGACTCACTGTAGCCCATGACCTTGCAAGTTCTCTCATCCTAGAAACTGTAAAGATGGGGAGCCACTGTACCTACACACACACACACACACACACACACACACACACACACACACACACACATACCTCACTTCATGAGACAAACTATATTTCTAGATAATTGCAGTCAAGTGTAAGAGATAGTGGGGTGTAGTGGTGCATGCCTTTAATCTCACCATCAGGACACAGAGGGAGGTGGATTTGTATGATTTCAAGGCTAGCCTGGTCTATATAGACACTTCTAGGCTAGCCAGGGATGTATGGTGAGACGCTGTCTCAAAAACAAAACAAAACAAAAAACCAAAAACACCAACAGGAATTTAAGATAAATAAACAAACCATCAACTAAAACATTTAAAAAAGTAAGTAACGGGTCAACTAAAAATATGTGTAAGATCTAAAGATGATAAAGTAATTCTGAAAGAGATGAAAGAAATCCCAGATGAGTGCCTGGAGGAGTATACCATGTTCATGTACCCAAAGACACAATGTTAAATGTCTGACCCTCCCTAAGTGATATATGAGTTTAATGAAATCTCAGTCAAAATCTCAGCAGGCTTTCCTGCTAAATTTGATGGGCTGGTTCCAAAATCTCTGGGATGCATACATGACCCAGAATGGCCTAAACAAACCTGAAAAAGGCAAAGAAAATCAGAGAACTTCCATTATTTGACTCCAAGAGTACTTGAACTGTTGTGTGAGGTGTAACAGTAAACCACAGAAAAATAGGACTGGAATCCAGAACAATCCCACCTGCGTGTGCTCAACAGGGTACTGGTTGAGGAGGCTCAACAGACAAATTGAAGTATCCACAGGGAGCTAGAACAATTCAGGACATCAAAAAATTGGCTCAAAATGCTACAAAATGCAACAGATGAGCTCTAGTCATAGTCCTTACTGTGAAGAAACACCTGGGGGTGGGGTGGGGAAACTTGAGGGAAGCCAGGCTTATCCTGGCCCACTGTTCAAGGGTGAGGAAGTCGTGGCCGGTGGGAGAGCCACACTGCTCCTCATGTAGGCCAACCGGAAGCTGAGAGCTTGGGCTAGGAACAGAGGGACCCGAATCTCTAAACAGTTGTACTTCCGGCCCTCTCCTGCCATGTGTCAACCCCAAACAGGCCACAATCTCCCAAATAGCACTACCAGCCTGGGACCAGGTGTTCAAACACACAAGCTCCGGGGTCATTGCACAGTCAACCCTCAGCAGGAGCCTAGAATGAGTTTGTGTGGTTCTGAGTTAAAGGAACACTTAGGGAGGGTCACTGAAGACAAAGGGTAAAGTGGGCTTTGCTGAAATTAAGGATTAGGCTTAACACTGAAGAAAATGAAAAGCTGGGACACCCGTGGAGAGGTGTGCAGTATTTATGTTAATAATATGTTTGACACCGGAAGTCATAAAGAGCATGTACTTTAATAATACAAATACAATGGCCTGCACATCACGATACCCCCCCCCCCCCGGCAACTGGCACAGCCCCTCAGTGTGGCTCTGCTGGAAGTTTCCAGGTCTCGACCTGTTGCTCACTCACCTGGGCACCAAGTGCTGCCATGTCTTCTCCACATCAGAGAGGGCTGACAATCTATTGCCCTCTGTGAGTGAGACCCAATGCAGCCTATATAGAGAGGACATTGTCCCTCTGTCCCAATGTCCCAGTAGAGGGTACTGGGAAGTGCCTGGTCCTGTGTATCCTGCCTCATCCCTACAATGAATTTACTTCCAGATGAATATCTCTTGTGTCCCTCTCTATGTATCCTGTGGAGAATGTTGGATAGGCAGGACTCACAAGGCAGCCCAGGCCAGGGGCCACAGTGCCTGGAGCCATGAGTATGGCTTTGCTTGTGTGATTCTAGAAAAATAGAGGAGCAATTGGTGGGTATGGTCTATAGGGGACTGGTCATACCTGTGGGTGAACAGCCACCCACAGGGGTCAGAGAAACTGAACTTTTGGGGGAAGGGCCCTGAGTCACAGTGTGACACCCCCAGGGGATGTAGCTATTATCCCTTGTCAATTGCGGAGCTGAGTTCTTCCCTCCTAGAAACATTCTTGGCTGTGGGGATGGACATTTACTTGAACTACATATTCCAGAGAATGAGAGTAGATGCAGGTAGTTAGAAGAGTTTATTGAAGCCATGGGCTACTGACAAGCTGTGTCAGGGTCAGATAACCAGAGCAGAGGGACAGGGGGAGGGACAGTGACCGGAGGATCATCAGACATCCTGGGAAGCAGGAGGTCAAGTCACTAAGGACAGGCTGGTGGCTTCATCCTGGGGGACTGTCTATCCCAGGTCAGGATCAGGCTGAGAGAGCTGAGTGGGGCCACAGGGAGAGACCTGAGTCAGCTGGCACCAGGAACAGGCCCATCAGCAGCTGGACTTCTGGCCTGAGGAGAGGCCACAGCAGGCCTGGCTGGAGCAGGCAGGGCGGCAGAGCAGGGACATGCTAGAGCAGGGCTTGCAGCAGCTGGGCTGGCAGGAGGAGCCACAGCAGGAGGAGGTGGGCACACAGCAGGCGGGTCTGCACACAGGCCGGCAGAGCAGGGACACGCTGGAGCAGGGCTTGCAGCAGACTGGCTTGCAGCAGACAGGCACGCAGCAGGATGGCTGGCAGCATGAGGGCTGGCAGCTAGACTGCTGGCAGCAAGAGGAGGACCCAGAGCAGAGGGGTGTGCAGCAGACAGGCACGCAGCCGGATGGCTGGCAGTTTGAGGGCTGGCAGCTAGACGGCTGGCAGCATGAGGAGGACCCAGAGCAGAGGGGTGTGCAGCAGACAGGCACGCAGCAGGATGGCTGGCAGCATGAGGAGGACCCAGAGCAGATGGGTGTGCAGCAGACAGGCTTGCAGCAAAGAGTCACACAACAGGGTGAAGAGGTGCAGCATGAGGGCTGGCAACTGGACTGCTGGCAGCATGAGGGTGTGCAGCAGACAGATTGGCAGCAGGGGCTGGACACACAACTCACTGGGGTGCAGACAAAGCTCAGACATGGGGCTGGGGCACAGCAACTAGGCTGGCAGCAGCTGGGCTGGCAGCAGCTGGGGGCACAGCAGCTGGGCTCACAGCAGCTCTCTGGGCAGTCATGCTGGTGGGAGGGGGAGTTGGGGGAAGAGTCAGAGCA